CTCCAACTCAGGGCCTTACATTGGCTAGGCAGGAACACTGTCAGTTGAGCCATGCTCCTAGTCCTTTTTGCTTTTTTTGTTGTTAATACTTAGTTTTATATCATTAAAACGTGACAAGCTTAATAGTACACAAGCAATTACTTTCATAGATGGACATAAAGAATGGAATGCTAGATTTACCTCACTGTACCAATCTTAACTTTAGGGAAAAAAATCTTTATGTTAGTATATAATCACAGCCAACTTAATTACATACCAACGTCACTAACTTTACTAATAAGCTTTATCTTATAAAATCAAGGCATAGTCATATGTCTGATGCTTACTTGAACATTTGGTGATTAATCTTAATTTCTCCCTTTCTCTTTTACGCAACAAACATTGAAGACATTTTTTTTTTTTTACTTGAATTCGGGCCTGGGTGCTGTCCTTGAACTTTTGTGTTCAAGGTTAGTGCTCTACCACTTGAGCCACAGCTCCACTTGTTTTCTTGTGGTTAATGAAAAATAAGAGTCTCACAGATTTTCCTGCCCCAACTGGCTTCAAACCTTGGTCCTCAGATCTCAGCTTCCAAGTAGCTAGGATTACAGGCTAGCATCCAGCTTAAGACAATTCTTTTTTTTTTTTTTAAGGAAAATTGACTTTTTTTTTTTTTTTTGCCCGTCATGAGGCCTGAATTCTGGGTCTGGGCGCTGTCCCTCAGCTCAAGGTTAGTGCTCTACACTTGAGCCACAGTGCCACTTCTGACTTTTTCTGCTTATGTGGTGCTGAGGAATAAAACCCAGGGCCTCATGCATGCAAGGCAAGCACTCTACCACTGAGCTACCTTTCCCAGCCCCTTAAGACAATTCTTATTCTCCCCCCCCCACTTTTTTTTTGGTCATGTGGCTTGGACTCAGGGCCCTGGGCACCATACCTAAGTTTTTTCCACTCAAGGCTAGCATTCATTCTACTACTTTGAGCCACAGTTCTACTTCCAGTTTTCTGGTGGTTAATTGGAGATAAAAGTCACATGAACTTTCCTGCCTGGGTTGGCTTCGAATCTTGATCCTTAGATCTTAGACTCTTGAGTAGCTAAGAATACAGGCTTGAGCTATCAACATCTGGCCCCAAATTCTTTCCTTTTTTGCTTTTTCTTTTGCCAGTCCTGGGGCTTGAACTCAGGGCTTGGGCACTGTTCCTAAGCTTCATTTGCTCAATGCTAGCATTCTGCCACTTGATCTACAGCACCACTTCCAGATTTTTCTGTTTAGGTGGTACTGAGGAATGGAACCCAGGGTTCATGCATGCTTAGTAAGCCCTCTACCACTAGGCCATATTCCCAGGTGCCCCCCCCCACTCCCCATTTTTTCTTATGTAAAGAAAACCACTTTTTCCCCTCAATTTCCTTTCGAAATCTTTTTTTCTTTTTGGTCAGTGGTAGGGCTTGAACTCTGGGCTTGGGCACTGTCCCTGCGCTCTTCAGCTCAAGGCAAGTGCTCTACTACTTGAGCCACAGTGCCACTTCTGGTTTTCTGGTGGTTTACTGGAGCTAAGAGTTTCATGAACTTTCCTGCCTGGGCTTGCTTTGAATGGCAATCCTCAGATCACAAGGCCTCCTGAGTAGCTAGAATTATCGGAGTAAGCACCAGTGCCCGGCTCTCAAAGTCTTTCTTTACGAACTTTCCTTTTTCTTTTTTACTGACAGTTCTGGAGCTTGAACTCAGGGCCTGGGTTCTGTCCCTGAGCTGCTCTGTGCTCAAGGCTAGCACTCTACCACTTGAGTCATAGTGCCACTTCCAGCTTTTTCTGAGTAGTTTATTGGATATAAGAGTCTCACAGACTTTCCTGACACAGCTGGGTTTAAACTTCAATCCTCAGATCTCACCCTCCAGAGTAGCTAGTATTATACGCATGAGCCACCAGTGCCCGGCCAAGCTGTCTTAAAACAGAATGTTTAGTGGATGACAGGTCCAAAGTCTAGTAATATAATAATGGTTAAATCATCTATTGTTCTTCATGTAGTTACTAGAGGCTGGGGATGTGGCTTATTGGTAGAGTGCTTCATACTAGACCAAAACTGTTGCAACCAAACTCTGCAGAGAATTAGTAGAAACCGTTGAGAGAATCCAGTGTTTAGGTGGGACTAAATGATTAAGTCTTTGGACCCTTGGCTTAGAGGTTTGAAATACAGTTGGAATTTACAGAGACATTGTGAATGGAAAGGACAAACTCAAATTAGTTTATTAAAGTAACTCTATGGAGGACAGACTAGGATTAAGATTTAAGTAAGGGCTGCATTACAATACTGCAGGGGTTTTTTTTTTTTTAGGTGAAGCCTTGAACCAGTACTGTGAAAGCAATGGGTATCACACTTATTTTTTCTTTTGCAACAGTACTGGGACTTGAACTCAGGACCTAGGTGCTGTCCCTTAACATTTTCACTAAAGGCTGGCAGTCTATCATTTGAGTCAGAGCTCCATCGCTAGATTTTTGGTGGTTAGAGATAACAGTTTCATAAACTTTCCTGCCTGTGTTAGCTTCAAAACATGATTCTGGGCTGGGAATGTGGTTTAGTAGTAGAGTGCTTGCCTAGCATGCATGAAACCCTGGGTTCTATTCCTCAGTACCACATGCACAAAAAAAGTGTAAGTGACCCTCTGACTCAAGTGGCAGAGTGCTAGCTTTGAGCAAAAAAGAAGCTTAGAGACAGTGCTCAGGCATTGAATTTAAGCCCCAGGACTGGCAAAAAACAAAATAAACAACAACAAAACCCATGATCTTCAAATCTCAGCCTCTACTAGCTCCTGGCTCTAAGAAAGTAATTGATAATGAGGCACACATCAATGGAATGTGGTGATTCTTGGAGGTGGAAGAGTGTGAAACATGTATGGAGCCTAAAGCTAAAACGATGGAGATGCTAATACTCAAACCCAGGATTCAAGAAAAATACACAGATAAGGTAAATCGCTATATAGCAGTTCACTTATCTCAGTTTCACTGTAGTGTGAGTTTTGATTTAAAAAAATATATAATTCTGTATCAGAGTTTTCGTTATATCATGGCATTTTATGGTATGCTATTGGTTTTGGTTTTTGTTGGTCGTGGGACTTGAACTCTGGGCTTGGGTGCTGTCCCATAGCTCTTCAGCTCAAGGCCAGCACTCTACCACTTGGGCCACAGGACCATTTGTCGTTTTCTGGTGGTTAATTGGATAAGAGTCTCATTGGATTTTCCTGCCCATGCTGTCTTTTAACCGAGATCCTTAGATTTCAGCCTCTGAGTAGCTAGGATTACAGGTGTGAGCCTCTGGCGCTCATCTGCAATAGGTATTTACATAATGCTTATGATTTTAATTATTTTTGCCTGACTATTCAAATAATATAGAAATATAAAAATATTAAGATTAATAAGAGAGTTGGTAAGTTTTATAGGAGAGTGGGGTTTTTAAAGCCTTAAATATATAAAATATAAAATAAATATGCTTCACAGATTTTCACCTATCATGGGGGTCTGTGGACTGTAATCCCTGCCATGGGTGAGGGATTTCTGTATTGAATGCACGAGTTCCAGAGCCTAAGACTTTTATGTAGATTGGTAAATTATAAGAATCCTTATCATGCAGATAAAATCTGCAAGGATGATCATTGGAACTGTAGAAGTACATTACACCATTTGAATAGTATAGCATTAAATGAACACTGGAGGCTGGGGACGAAGCTCAACGGCGTAGCTCTTGCCTAGCATGTAAGGCTCTGGGTTCTATCTCCAACACTGAAAAGGAAGGAAGGAAGGAAGGAAGGAAGGAAGGAAGGAAGGAAGGAAGGAAGGCAGGCAGGCAGGCAGGCAGGCAGGCAGGGAGATTAGAGCACTAGAGAATGTTGTACTTGTGAAAAAAAGGAGGTATGTCGGAGCTTGCTTTGGATAGGAGTAGAACGAGGAGAGCCTACAGAAAAGGGAGGACGGCTGAAAGGGGAACCACTTGTCAGTAAACTAAACAAGAGATCTGAGCAAAGACCACAGGGGTTGACGTTGAATAGGTCATGGCCACGTTGGGTTAGCAGTGTGAGAAAAATGGCAAAAGCAGAATCCAACTAAGTATGGAGGCTGCCTAAAGAGAATAGGCTAACGTGTGAGCCAGAATAAAGCGAGATAGGAAGTGTTGGGGGGCGTACTTGAGACACATTATAGCCGCCAGAAGCTGCTCTCTTCTTCTCAAGCAGTGCCTGACAGGAAAGATTGGAGCCCCATTTATTCCTTAACTAATCACAAACACCACCATCTGGGAAGAGGGAGACGATGAGACCAATTTTACTTTGGCAGCACGGACTAAGGCTCGTAACGTGTGTAAAAGCCACCCCGCCCCCGCCCCCGCCCCCGCCCCGGCTTTTCAGTCAGCCCGCTGACCAGAGCAGGTGCGCGGGCTGTCCTGCTCGATCGCGTCCGGAGCCCGCTCCCAGGCCAGCCTTCTGCAACCACGAGAGCTGGGCCCGGCATAAACCCAACGCGGATCCCACGGCGCCTCGGACTTCCGCGGGCGATATCTCGCCCCACGCGGCAGCGGAGCACACGCCCTCCACCTTGCCCAGGCCTGCGGCCGCCGCCGGCGTCCTCCATGACACTTCCCGCGTCGCGCCGCCCCCACCTCGGGGAAATGAAACTCGGGCTGCCAGGCTGCGGCGAAGGAGTGGGATCCGCTGCGTTCTCACTCTACGAAGAGAAATGGCAGAACTCACCCCAGGCGGCAAAGGGGTGTGTAGCCTCCGCCGGCTCGCCGAGGCTCCGGCTCGCCGAGGCTCCGCCTCGCCGCTCGCCGCCCCTTTCCCGGCCCGCCTTCCAGACATCGCGGACTACACTTCCCAGAGGTCTCTGCGGCCCCGCGGGGTGGGCCGTCTTCGATCCCGTTCTCACCAGGAGAGGACTGGCTCTCAGGGATGAAGGCGGGGCTTGCATCAGCCAATTAGCGAGAGGCTCGTTACGGCGGCGGAAGCAGTGGCGCTGGAGTGAGGGGTGGGGGGCAGAGTGCTAGTGCCCCGGCGGCTACTGCGGGTCCGGAGCTTGAGGACGTCGCCCCTACGAGCAGAGGGCGCACGGGAGCGAGCTCGAGGTGGCGCGGTGGCCCCTCGGCGCAGCAATCAGGTAATGGCGGGACGGGCGCCCGGGAGGGGAGGGGTGGAGGCGAGGGGGCGGGGCGGCAAGGCAGGGCTGCAGCGTCCGTCCCGCTGCGCGTCCCCGGGGAAGGGCAGAGGCGCCCCGGCGCGGGCGACTCGGATCCCGGCTCTTTTCGCGAGTTGGGCACGGCGGTTGAGCTGGCGGCAGGGCCCGAGCGTCCGGCGGCGGGGAAGGGAGAGACTTCGGGAGGGGTGGGCTGGCCAGGCGTGGGGGCGTGGCAGGCCCAGGCCTTGGCAGGGCAGCGGAGCAGCCGGGGGAGTGCGGGCGGGCGGGCGGCCCGGGGAGTTTGGCTCCTGGAGCAGTTTAAAGTGACTCTCCACATCCGGGCCCTGCGCCCGCCGCTTTCAGACCCGGGCCGAGGCGGGGCCTCCCCGCTCCCCGCCTCCCCCGCCGGGAGCTCCCGTCTTCCCCTGCTATTGGCCCAACCTCGAGGGGTTCGGACTGCCCCGGCGAGGCTGGTGCCTAATTGGCTGTCAGTCGGCGGGAGGGTGGGGCGGGCTCAGAACGCGCAGGCCGCTCGGGATTGGTGCCGAGTCTCCAGTGACGCGGCGGGCTCGGGGCCAATGGGCGGGCGGGGGAGGCAGGGGCAGGTT